TAAGTAACTTGAATCAAAGTGAGGAACAAAACCACAGTTAAAGGCCATTCTAAACAGGATGACAATTGTAACTCCACGTAGCAAAACCTCAGCAATGGAACCGCAGCGCTCCCTGTAGCCCTGAGTTTGTGTCATTAACAAGGAAGACAGAGTAAATGAAGCATCCAACCCAAGGAGCTAGAACCCGCGCAACAAGATAAACATAGGGATGGGGCCAGCAGGTGATTAAGCAAATTGAAATCATAATTAATAAAAATTAAATAATCATTTCTTAAAAGTTCATTAAAAATGCATATTATTTTTAAAAAAGAAAACCACAAAATCAACTTTAAAACTGACATGGGCTATCTCCAGAAAGGATACAAGTCAGAGTGGAGCAGACACGTTCTTTCATCCTTTCAAAGGCAGTTTCTAGGCCAAACTGCCCAGAAATAAATGAAACAGACAGACTGTGTTCCCATTCATTTTACAAATCTATACAGCCATGGCAACTACCTGACAAAGATAAGCAAGCTTCACCTGGTCGGGCATCTTAACAAGATCCCAGGAGACTCGCGTTCCCTGTGACCGTGGGAGAAGCACCAGGCTACTCTGACGATTGGGCTACGTAGGCAGTTTCTCAAATACGGTCCTTAAATCAAAGTTGCCAGCAGGACCCCAAATGGCCAAGACCAGGCCTTGAGCAAGGAGCAGTCCGCAGAGCAGCTCACAGGCCAGAGCTCAAGCACTCCCGGGGCTCCCTGTGCTTTCCACACCCATCAAGAAGCCAGAAATGGTGGCCACCCCCACCCTACATACACGCCTAGAATATCCTACACCCCGGAGGTCGTTCCTGGGACAGAGGGCAGAGTGTCAACACTAACTGCTACAGGGCCCAGGGAGGCAGATCAACTCAGCATAAAGTCAAACAGCTGAGCTGTCTGGGGAGGTAATGATCTCCCTGGCCCTGGATGACCACCCCCAAGGGAGGTTCTGGAGGGGGCCCTAGCACTGGGACAGAGGCTGGCCTTGAGGACCTCAGACTCCACCAGCATGAAGAATTCAGGTTCATGCCTCTGATCCTCCACTGGCTTCACACACGCCTTAAGGATCAGGGCTGACATAACTGACCAGAACACACAGGTCTTCAATTCAGAAAACCTCACTTCTGCTCGTTCTGATCCTCTCCTGTCTGTCCGCATTACCATCTGTCAGCAGCAACTCTCGGGGTGGACATTGGTGTGGGAGGGAGTGAGAGGAAAACAGACCCGATCTTGCTTGCATTATTGGTTACGGACACGCAGACAGGTGTATGTACGTCCCTCTCTTTTCTCGGGTTGCCATGGTGAGTGACCTATCAGGTCCCAGGCTGAGTGGATGCCAGAGACTGCAGGCTGGAGCGCCATTCAAGACATCCATTAGCACACAAACAACGGCGGCCTCCCCACTCTCCGTAATGGACTAAATGGCATGCCACGCTAATGGGCGCCTGGCCACAAAGAAGCCTCAACAGCTAGTGCCTTGTTCCTTAGGATGTGGGTTTCACTGACAGATGGATAAAGTGCTCTCCTCGTCATCTCCATAGGCAGACTTGCAGAGGCCTGAGTACTCCAGCCTGGGCCGCCCTGGCCATGAGCATGGCAGAGGCTGTGGGACTGGGGACAGAAAAGGTACTGTTGGCATCATCGACAAAGCCCTGCCAGACCTTGGGGTAGGGAAGGGCAGATGCTGAATTACCTGCTAACTCTCAGAGAGCCAGTGTCATCCTTCCTCCAATATGACGTGGCAGGCTTAGAGAAAACAGGCATTCTGGTAAGGAAGCCACTGTTTACCAAGGATGCCTTCCCAGCAGAGCAGAGCTATGCCTGGGGTGGGTGGAGAGGGACACAATGAGCACGCCGCCTCGGGCCTCTCATTCCTCCCAGGAGACAGCTCAGTTGGAAGCACTAGAATCCCACAAGTTTGGAGTAAGGCCCAGCCAGGCCTCAAGAAGCTGACCACGCCTCTGATCCCCTCTCCCAGCCAGGACTTTGGGTTTCTCCCTTGGCGATAAGGGCAGACAAGGGAAGTCCTTAGGACTTGACCATGTTCCTATTTTTCTAGGCCTGAGGTTGGACTATACCTTCTTGACCCTTGAACTCTGATACGGCAATTGGGTTTCCTTTGGACAATGAGATGTCTGTGAAAGCGCTGTTTATCATCATATCCTAGTGGAAGTTTGAAAAGTCAGTGTGTGATTCACACATGACTCACACATCCCCTTCCTCCTTCCAGAAGGAAGCATGTGTTGCTATGGACACTCTCAACCTGGGTCCCGCTGACCACAAAGAGCAGATTCCCAACCCCTCCCTACCCAGCAGCCTGCTTTGAAATGAAATGAGTGAGACTTTGATCGGTGTAAGCCACTGAAATGGTGCTGTACGTTACTGCAGCCTAACCTTGCCTATCCTGACTAGCACACCCAGAATAATTCAACTGCTTCCTTGTGAAAGTGGCATTTTCTAGAATCCTTTCATTCATTATAGTTTCCTTCTTTGACAATAGTGTCATGTTGCCACGTTGTCCCTATGTGCTGTGAGCAATAAGACATGCCACCTGGTTGCATTGCAACTATGTAACAATATAGACAAAAGCCAATCACTTCGAGGCTCAGAAGAGGCTAGCAGTTAGCATAATGGCTATGTCGCTGAACTCCTACGTAGCCGACCGTGGTTCAAGTCCCAGACCCGGTGGTTTAAACCCACGCCAGGTGCGTGTGCGTGCATGCCCAAGATCCCGAGAGAATGGAGGAGAAGGGATTGCAGCGTGGCCATCCCTCCCAGGGGATGATTTCTCACTTTCTATCTCTCTGTCTCTCTGTCTTTTTGGCGAGCACAGTCACCCTAGAGCAAATACCTCTCAAAAAAAAAAAAAAAAAAACCCAACGA